AATTTTACTAAATCAAAATAATTGTGTTGCTTCATGTTCATTTAATTTAAGTCATACATGGTTACCTATGCTAAAATCTGAAGTAGACCAGAGAATCATACACCCAAATTAAATTTACACCAAAATTATTAATTAACATTACCTTTATTAATTTAAACAATGAGATTAAGTCAAAGTCACATAACTGACAATTTGCACAGACGAATTATCAGAGCGAATTTTCATATACTCTATTATCCTACTATTGTTACACAATTTATTATCATACTATTTTTTAGGTTCATTTAGATTCTTTTAATAACGATAGCAGAAAATAGCTATCGAAACGTCAAGGTAATTTTTCAAATTAATTTCTTTACTAATTGGAATTTTCTCTTACAGCTTGAGCCTAAGTGTGTCGCAGGATACCCTCTAGGTGATAGTTCTTGATTACTTTTTGATAAATAATTCGTTCTTATTGCAAAATGGGAGCACTATTTGTCAATCTGTAATAGAAGACGTGAGGAAATTCTGTCTTTTTTAAAGACAAAAATTTCTGAGGCAAAATACCCAACAAGAAGTTTGGTTAAACCAAAGTGGCTGGCAGGGTGTACCCGGACAGGTTTATCCACCCGGTGTAAGTTTTTTCATGCGCGGTTATATTCGCCTTTTTTTTCTTCACAAGAGAAAGTCCCTTTTTCCTTGTCTAAATTTTGTTCTAACAGACGTCACTTTGTGAAGAACTTTGTCCCTTTTGGGCGCTGTTTATGAACACGCTCCTGGATACGTTTTTTTTTCTACTTGTTTAATCAATCAATCAATGAGAGTGAATAGAAATACTCTAGAAATACTGTTTACCTAAAGTGGGCATCGCTCCGATCGACTGCAGGCTCAAAGTGCTGGCTGTATGAATCGGGGGGCCGCCAAAAATGGAAACAGGATTGACCACCATGGCTGTATTGCTGGACATAATGGGAGGGCTGTCCTCCTCGGGAGGAGTAACTTCCAGGCCGATGCTGTCGTTCAGGGCGATTTTGATGGGGTTTTGGAACTTGGTGGAAAAGTGCGAAAGCCCAATATCCTCCAGGCTGCTTTTCCTCTTCGGGTTGCCGATGTTCGGCAGGCCCTGCCTGAGGGAGTTCGATCTGCAATTAAACCCCAATCATGCACCTTAACAAAGACACGGATAGAGTAGTGAAACACCAAAATACTGTTACCATTTTGGGCGTTTGAAAGAGTCGAGAAATCCGTACTGCACGCGAAAACGTTTA